CCCCCAATGGACATGGCATGTGGTGCCATCGCACTCCTCCGATGGACACACACATGGTGCTGTCCTGGGCAGCCTTGTCCCTCCCTCTGGGGCATGTGTGCAAGTGGACCCTAGAGGAAATTCCTGGAACTGGGCTGCTGGGACACAGGCTGTTTCTGTTTGAAGCGACGATGAACGCTGCCACGCTGCTCTTCAGGGGGCTGTGCTGGTCCCCTCCCCACCAAGAGTGCCCGCCTGCACATCTGTCACCGACACGGGTCTCCGCCAACAACCCAGGTACAGGAGGGCCTCAGAGTCGGAAGTCACGTTGCCCCTACGGTAGCCAGAGCCGAGCAGCCCTTGGTGGGTTTCGGCCGCCGCAGGCCCTGCCTAGGACGGCCCACGCCCTCCTGGGGTCTCTCTGCTTGTCGCCCTCCTCCTCGGTGGTCTGCGTTGCTACTCCTCCCGTGGCTGTTCCCTGACAGAACCAGGTTGCCGGGCCTTCTTCCGTGGACCGCTGGGGAGGTTTGAGCTGCCAACTTTGGATGTGGGTTGCTGTTGCTGCGTGGAGTCAGCTCTGACTCCTGGTGACCCTGTGTCTGACGGAAGGAGACACTGGCCAGCCCTGGGTCACCCTCACCGTCATTGCTGGGGTGGAGCCCGTTGGCACAGCCGATGGGTCAGCCCCCTCTTTTTTGTTGATGCTTTACTTTACCAAGTGGCATGTCCTTCTCCAGGGACCGGTCCCTCCTGATAACGTCCGAGGAAGCGTCCTTGCCTCCCAGGAGCGTCCGGTAGTGCCCCTTCCCAGACAGGTGCCCGTTCTTCTGGCAGCCATGGCCTCATCTGGGCTCTTCACCAGCACAAGTCAAGGGTGCCAGTTCTTTGGTCTTCCTCTTGAATCACCCGGCTTTCGCGCACGTGAGACGATTAAAAGGACCGAGGCTTGAGTTCGGTGCCCTTTAGTCATTGAAGTGGCATTTTTGCTTTTTAAAATTTAAGGGAGTCTGCCGCAGACTCACCCACGCAGTGTGTCATCTGACGTCTCTGGACTGCTGTTTCCCTGGGTGCTGACTGCGGGGCCAAGTGAAGTGAAACGCTTCTCTCCATTTATCAGGATGGTGCTCACTGGCCCAGTTGTGAGGATTTTTGTTTTCTTTATGTTGAGGCGTAATCCATACTGAATTATTTCTTTATGTTGATGTAGTCTTTTACCTTCATCAGTAAGTGCTCCAAGTCATCCTCACTGTCAGCAAGCAAGGTTGTGTCATCTGCATATCACAGGTTGTTAATGAGTCTCCTCCGATCCTGATGCCACGTTCTTCTTCACATAGTCCAGCTTCTCGGATTATTTACTCAGCATGCTGATTGAGTAAGTCAGGTGAAAGGATACAACCCTGAAGCACTCCCTTCCTGAGTTTAAACCATGCAGTGTCCCCTTGTTCTGTTCAAATGACAGCCTCCTGGGCTATGGACAGGTTCCTCATGAGCACAATTAAGTGCTCTGGAATTCCCATTCTTCTCAGTATTATCCATAATGTGTTAGGATCCGCACAGTGAAATGCCTTTGCATAGTCAATAAAAGACAGGTAAACATCTTGCTGTTTTCTTCTGGTGTTTCTCTAATTTCATTTTCCCATTAAATCTTCGTGCATATGGGATCTTTCTCAGTGTGCATTGGAAGGAAAGGGTCTGTGTGATTGACTCTTAGGTGCTTTGCCAGTGGTCCATTCACCATTTAGTGATGAATGCGTCCCTCCCCCCAGCCCCACTGATAGGAAACCCTGTCTTCGTCCTGGTTTAGATCCCTGGGGCCTGTTGTTCTTTCTGTCCTGCCTCGCTGATGCGTCTGCCTGCTTTTAGCCCAGTCCCCCCCACCTTCTGGGGTCTGTCATGTGCTCTGCTCTTAGGTAGAGCTGGTTTCTACGTCGCCACTCTTTTCCATTTTGTTTGTTCAGAGTTTCATGTTTGTGTTTCAGCAGGAACTTTTAGACTCTGGTTGTAACATCAAGCCGCTGGGAAGTGTTTGGGGGATTGTGTAGTAATTGAAGGAGAATTAGGGCCCTTACAATGTTTCACCCTCATGGTTCCAGTGCTGGAAGCCAGTCACTTGTAAAGCGCTGGCCCTCCCCACAACCCCCAGCTTCAGAGGGAGGGAAAGAGGGTGTTTCCCACACATGCACATCAGATGAGCCTTTGCCGCCTGCTCCTGCTCGTGTTTTATATGCTGGGATCCTCCGAGCAAGGCTCTTCCCGGTTCTGCCTGCGACGTGGTGGAGCGGCTGAGGCAGGCTTCAGTGGCAGCCTCACGGTCCTGCCAGCCCTAGTCCGAGCGGCTGGCCGGCCTTGGGCCTGCTGCTGTAAGTGTGCAGGAGCAGTGGTGTGCGTTTCTCATGGGGTGAGGTTAGTGTCTCCCCGTGAGTTTGGGGCACGGAGCCTCTGTGCAGACGTGCTGGCGTCAGGCCTCCCCATCGGGGATCCGCGTGGTGCAGCACTCTCTGGCATGGCTCTCCGCGTTTGCCTGGACGGCATGGTGGCCCTAACACACCCCCACCACACAGGAACCGCCCTGTTCTGCGTTATTGTGTAACTTCTTTGGAATCTCATTTTACTTTCTCTCTACCGCTTTGTAGCATGCCTTGCTGGGCTTTTTCCGTTTCTTTTTTGAGCAGGAAGTGCCTCCTGCTGACCGAGGCCAATCACGTCACTGAGTTGAGTGACTGCAGGTGGCGGGCTCTTGGCTGGAACCCTGGTTTGCTCTCCTGAGGCCCTGCATCAAGCAGTGCCTGTGCCGTGGCCTCTGTCGCCACCCTCCAGGCCGTGGGCCGAGCTCTGTCCTGGTCCTGGGCCCTGGTGGGCGTGGCTGGGCCTCTGGCCTGCTGTCTGCACCTGGTTTGGGACCGGGCTTTGCTGGAAGGTTGAGCAGGGCCTGTCGCTGCTCGTCAGCCCCTCGGGGCACTCAACCAGTGGACTTAGAGCTGGGGCCCCTCTGGCCTGGGCTTTCACCGTGACCCACTCCCCCAGCAGCTCCGGGCACACACTTTGTACAGGGCCTGGCAGGCGGCCTGTAACGTCACGCCCTGGATGCTGGCAACAGGGATGGGCAGACCAGGACCCTCCATGCCAATAACATGTCACATAAAGTGGCTGGGTTAGCCGAGGCTGAGGGCCCCGGTGACAGCAGGTCGGGGCTGCCCAGGGTGGCCTGTTGGCAGGTGTGGCTCAGCCCAGGTCTCCCTCATCCTTGGCCCAGTGGGAACTGCCCCAGTCAGGGTGTCCTTACAGGGGAGGGACAAGCTCAGTGGTGGGAATGTGTGGCAGCCTTTGGGCCTCAGCATGGGATTGGCCTGTGTCCCTTCCTCTCACACCTCCGTGGCGGGGCCTGCCCAGGAAGGCCCTGAGGTCCCAGGACAGAGGGCAGCCGTGGGAGGGTGTGCACTTAGGGCCAGGGAGACAGCAGCACGCCGCCACCAACCGGGCCAAGAGGCCTGCGTCTCCAGGGTGCTTCCCCACTCAGTTACCAAGAGAAACACGGGGTCCGAGAGCTTGTGTGCGAGCCCGTGGGAACCAGAGGCGTCAGCTGCCCTGGATGGCCCCTCAGAGCAGACCTGGGCTGTGAGGGGTTTGCACGTGTGAGGAAACCCAGGTGTGGCTTCACAGCATGGGGCAGGGGAGCTGCCTGGAGGCTCTGGGGTGGGCATTATGCTCCGTGTGCATTCCGAAGAGGGCCCAGCCCAGGGACCCTGGCCACGCGCGGGAGGCCTGACGCCTCTGGGACCTGACACCTGTGGAGTTCACACGTGGAGTCACACAGCCGCTCCTCGGGCCTGGGTTCATGCTCAGCACTGCGTGGACCACACGCATCCGTGTGGTGGTGTGTGTTTACACTCTGTTACTCTTAATGCTGAGTGTGTGTGCATGTGTGTGTGTGCACGTGCATGTGTGTCCGTGTGCATATGTGTATCCACGCATGTGTGTGTGAGTATGTGTACGTTTTTTGTTACAATTGCTTTTCCTAGTTATCTCATAACCATAGCCTGCTGTTGTAGTCAATGTGAATGCATGTGTGAGATTGAGAGAATGTGTGTATCTGTGATACATGTGTGTGGGAGTGGGAGTGTGCATTCATGAGGGGGTGTGTGCATGTTCTTGTGAGCGAGTGTGAGTGGTGTGTGGAGTGTGCATAAGCATATGTGTGTGAGCTTTTGTGTACATGTGTGCTTGCATGTGTGCTGTGTGCACGTCAGTGAATGTGTGAATGAATGTGCATGTGTCAGTGAATGTACATGTGTGCATGTGTGTATACTTCTGTGTGTGAATGAGTGTGCATGTGTTTGTGAGAGTGAGTGTGTGAGTGTGTGTGTGGATGTGTGAGTGCACGTGTCAGTATGCATGTGGATGAGTGTGCATGTGTATAAGAGGATATTCATGTGTATGTGCTTGAATGCGTAAGTGTATAAGCTTGTGTGTGTCCATGCACTTAAAATTGAATATGCCTCAGTGTATATGTGTGAGTGTATGATTGAATGTGTGTGTGAGAGTTCATGTGTGAGTCAGTGAGTAAGTGTGCGTGTGTGGGGTATGTATGTAGGTGTGTCCGTGTGTGAGTGTGCATGAGTGAATGGATGTACTTTTGAATGTGTGTGTGTGGGAATGACTGAGTGTGCATGTGTGGATATGGATATGTGCATGTTGTGAGTGTGCATGTGTGTGTGAATGGATGGATGTGTGGGTACTTGTGTGTGTGTGAATGGGTGTGGGTGATGTGCCTGTGCGTGTGTTCATGAGTGCGTGTGTGCCTGTGTGTATGTGTGCATGAGTGGGTGTGGGTTTGCGTGCACGAGTGCGTGTGTACAGCTGTGTCAGGCGGGGTTTCTGCTGCTCCCTGCTGTGCCCCCGTCCCCAGACCCACACGCAGCACACGTGGGTGCTCAGGACGGCTGGCTGCTCCCTGGCGCGCACGCTGTTGCGTGTGCCCGTGCCGGGGGCGGGGCTGCAGTGGGCGTCTGTGTTGCCCGCAGAGCTGGACGGCGGTGGCCTCAAGGACTGCGCGAGCAACCACAGCCTGAGCAGCAATGCCAGCCTCCCCAGCGTGCAGAGCTGTCGGCACCTGCGTGCCAGGCGGGTCGCCAGCTGGGCCGTGTCCTTCGAGCGCCTCCTCCAGGACCCTGTTGGCGTTAAGTACTTCTCTGTAAGTGCACTGAGCCAGGAGGCAGGAGGGGGGTCCCTGAATGAGAGGCCAGCCCCTGTCTCCAAGACGGGTGCCGGGCCCTGAGCAGCCCATGGTGCAGGGGTCTCCTCTCCGCATCCCCCTCTCAGGGTGAGGCGAGGGCCCACGGTGCTAGCTGTACCACCCTTTCCCCAGCTCCCCTGAACCCCAACCTCCCTGCTTGAGACCCTTAGCCGAGTGTCACTCAAGTTTTGCGTAAGTAGTTCTCTGAAGGCAGTTGTGTGACCAAAGCAGAGCTTTTCAAAGGACGGGTGGTGCTCAGGGCTCTGATGTGAACCACGCCCAACCCCCCCGTCACAAAGGAAGGGATAGCAGGAACGAGGGGCATCGGCGACACACGCAGCCATCAGCTGGCCTCAGTGGGTGACCGTGCGACTGCTGGCGACTGTTGTTTTCCAGGATTTCCTGAGGAAGGAATTCAGCGAGGAGAACATTTTATTCTGGCAGGCCTGTGAATACTTTAACCATGTTCCCGCACACGACAAGAGAGAGGTACGTTCTCCGCCCTAGGAGCTGGAAGGCGTGTCGGTCTCGCCACCGGCTGGGTGACACATGGCCGGCATCAGGGCAGCTGGGAGAGTGCAAGTGCTTCCGCGTGACTTGAGATCCTGTTTCCTTTTCAGGATAAGTTTCTTAATATACATGATATTTCGTTTTGCCTAAACATAGTCTGTGTGAATGCCTTCACGCACCCCCCTCGGCAGCAGAGGCGCTGACATGCAAACGCGTCTTCGGCAAGAGGGACATGTGCTTAAAGGGCAGGGATGACGGCTGTCGGCGCAACGGCCCCCACGAATAGCACTGTCGCAGCTGCCTGCCGTGGGGTCTTAGGCACCAACAGGGGGAGGGTCTCCTGACACCAGACGCGTGTGCAGGACAGGATAGGCCCGGGGCCTCTGCAGTGGGTGCCCCCCAGCATCTGGGATGGCCTCATCCCTGGTGCCCACTTTCCTAAGGTGGCCTCGCGCCCCCCTCCCTGTCTGCTAACGGTGGGCAGTCTGCCTCAGCCCATGCCACCTGGATCCACTGGTTAGACTCACAGGCCTCAGCCCTGTGCTCACATGTCCCACGAACATGCTGTCCTGATCCCACACTCGCACACGAGCATGCACGTGCCACAGAGGTGCCTCTTTGCCGTGGGACACTTGAACCAGCCGTTAAAGAAAGACAGAGCCAGTCAGTAAGCAGCTGATAGTGGCTGGTGCTTTAACTTATCCATGGGAGGAAGACGGGGCAATCTACTTCCATAAAGACTTACAGCCTTGGAAACCTGGTCAGGGTCACTGTGAGTTAGAAATGACTTGATAGCAGTGAGTTTGGTTTGTTCTGGTTTATGCAAGCAGACATGTCTGCTGGGCCTGTCCGGTCAGACACAGGGACACAGCAGTCACCGTGCAGAGCACACACGGGCCAGGCCTGCAGCCAGCAGTCGGCTCACAGTATCCCTGTTAGCTCTCCTACAGGGCCCGCGAGATTTTCACTAAGTTCCTGTGCAGCAAAGCCACCACCCCAGTCAACATTGACAGCCAGGCACAGCTGGCAGACGACATCCTCAATGCCCCGCACCCCGACATGTTCAAGGACCAGCAGCTCCAGGTACTGTGTGACATCCCCGCTCCTCCAAGGCTCCTGGCCAGGGCTGGGGGGGGGAAGGGCTAGCCCTTCGTGAGAGGGCGCATGTACTCAGCTCCCAGGCGGAGAGGGGAGTTGCCGGCCAGGGTGGTGTGGGTTGGGAGGCGTCTGTGTTGTAATGCCCACAGGGCTTGGGCTCAGAGGGGGCCAGTGGATGCGAGGCTTCCAAGGTTCACCAAAGCAGCAGCCTTGGACCCTGCGGGTGGACACACAGTCAGCTGTCCCCAGCTCATCACCTGCACTTACATGGCCACATGCACATGTTTTCATGTGTGATAATACACGTACATCTGGATGTTTTAAAATGCCGTAACATCTCTGTGATGAAAAAAACGTACCTGAGGCATTTTTTGGTATTGAGAGCATGTGTTCCCAGACTCCTACCACCCCTTCAGACACTAGTCCGTTAGAGTCACAAGAGGCCCGTCAACAAACAGATTGCAGGACAAGGGAAGCTTGGGCAGGGCTGGCTCCCACAGATGGCCGGTCACATGGGTCCTGCTCTTAGCTGACAGAGTCCGGGTTCCGGAGCTTCTTTCTGAGTCGGGCGTGGGACTGGCTTATCTCAGTCCTCCGAGTGGCAGGGTGTCCAGGTGGGGAGGAAGAACAGCCAGCCGTGAGGGACAGTGGGAAGTGGCTCCCAGGGCCAGGCATCTGGTGGGGGACGGTGCCCCTCTGTAATGACTGCAGGCTCCTGGCTGCATGGCGGCAGGGCTCCCCGACTCTGGCCTCTGCTTTGTGCTGCATTGACCCCTCAGATTTTCAACCTGATGAAGTTCGATAGCTACACGCGCTTCCTCAAGTCTCAGCTGTACCAGGAATGCATCCTGGCCGAGGTGGAGGGCCGCTCGCTGCCGGACGCACACCAGGTGCCCAGCAGCCCGGCCTCCAAGCACAGTGTTGGCTCAGACCACTCCAATGTCTCCACACCCAAGAAGGTACCTGCTGGCCCAGCGGCCCCTCAGGTGACCCGGGGGAGGTGAGAGTCGTGGTGGGAAGTCCATTCACACTCCTCAGCCTTGAAGGGGCTTTATGCTGAGACACTGAGCTGGTGGTGGGAGGGGTTCCAGCAGGCTTTTCCTGCCTCTTGAAGGTTCTAGATGATTCTGCAGGGCATTTGCACAGCTAGTTAGTATTGGTGATGGGCTCCATCACTGTGATGCTAAGTACCGTCACATCACGTTGACTGAGTGTTTCATCTGATGACAGTTAAGTGGAAAGTCAAAGTCCGGCAGGTCCCTGAATGAAGATATAGGGGAGGAGGACAGTGAGAAGAAGCGGAAGGGACCGTTTTTCTCCTGGTCAAGGAACCGGAGCACGGGGCGGTCGCAGAAGAAGAAAGAGCACGGTGACCATCCCCACGGTGGGTGTGTGGCGCCTGTGGCTGTAACATGGACGCGTGTGGGAGGAGACGGCAGTGTGCTTGCGTGCCTAGCCCGGGGGAGGCAGGCCAGCCAGGGTGCGGAGGGCTCCCGTCGATCCAGAGATAAGAGGAAGGTGGGCGCAGGCAGGCGAGCACACGCCCAGCTTGGCTGACAGCCGTGTGGCCCTTGAGGGCGCCCTGCAGCCGGGCAGGCGAGGCTCTCTGGGGAGTGGGGCAGAGAAAGATGAAAACGCCTTGCCGCCAGACCCCAGCAAGCGTAAAGGGGGCCCTGGGGGTGGGGGAGTGATGAAGCTGTACTGCCGGCCCAGGGGTCGTTGGTTCCAGCCAGTGAGGGGGTCACCACAGCGTTACTGTGACAATAGCCCCTGTAGCTCTGGCCCCTGCCAAACACCTGGTACGTTTAGGACTCTCATCAGAGTACTCATCAGAGTAGCCTGAAGAGTGGCATTTGCACCCTTGTCACAGAAGAAAGGGTGAGGGCTTCTCCCTGGGCTGGCAGCCCATGCTGGCGGGTCACGCTGTGGCAACCGGTGCGGGTGCCACACTCGCGGGTCACGCTGTGGTGGCCAGTGCGGCGCACGATCTCGGGTCACCCTGTGGCAACCGGTGCGGGTGTCACACTCGCGGGTCACGCAGTGGTGGCCGTGCGGCCCAGGATCTCGGGTCACGCTGAGGCAGCCGGTGCGGGTGCTTTTCTGGAAGGGAAGGGCTTCAGGAGTGGAGCTTCCCAATGGGGCACATGCGGCTTCCCAGTACCTGGGAGACGGGGGTGCCAACAGTCGTCCATCCACTAGAGGAGGACCCCAAGGCCAGGGCCCCAAACCTGACAGGTGGGGGTGCCAAACCACCCACATCCACCCACTCGATCAAGACCCCAAGGCCAAGACCTTGACCTGGAAGACAGTGAGGAGCCGCCTGGCAATGGTGATTCCAGGGCCTTCGAAGTCCTACCTCAGTTGGCTTGGGTGGGGCCTGGGCATCTACTGTTGATGGAAGGTGGGCCAGTGATCCTGAAGGCCACGGGGACTCAGGACCACTGCCCTGGCATCCCCTACACCCCCAGGCCCTGGGCCAACTTGGGCGGGGAGGCTATGTGGACAAATCATTCTCTGCCAGCATCACAAGCCCAAGATGACAATCAGTTCAAGTCCGTGGTGACTTCTGATCACAAGAAAAAGATGGGGGAACAAGTCACTCGTAAAGACAGTGACCAGCTGCCACTGCGGTTAGGCGTGTTTGCTGCTGCCCACTGGGGTGGCTGTCACTGGGCCGAGACACCACGTGTAGAAATCAACACGCCCCAGGGTAGACGAGAGAGGGTCTGGAGGCCTGTACTGGGTGTGAGCCAGCCCTGCTACAGGATCTCAGCCAGGCGCAGGGCCATGTGTCTGCTCGGCCAAGGGCAGCCATGTTTCTGGGACCTGGGCTCCATGTCCATGGCTTCTGGCTTCCATGGCAGGAAGAAACACTTGGCTGTCTCCTGAGGGGTGTAGGTTGGTCTCCGTCCTCTGTCTGCACCTGTGCAGCTGAAGAGGGGGGTTGGGAGGACCAAGCAAACGGGGCTTTGGTGTGAAGGGCGCACAGGGGACCCATCTGCATCCCTGTCCCCCACACAGACTCTCCTCATGCCAACGGAGGCCTGTGCCGCAGGGAGTCCCAGGGCTCTGCGTCCTCTGCGGGGAGCCTCGACCTGGTAAGTGTCCACCCCTTCCTGCAAGGGGCCGGGGCTCAGAGGTGACTGCTGGACCAGCGTCACTGTGTGGCCAGCTGCTCAACCCGGCTGTGTCCTCTTGGTAAAGGAATGGCGCCCTGGTCACCACAAGCAGATGTGTGCACTCGTCCGTATGCAGACGCGTGTGCTCGTCCAGGTGCAGATGTGTGCTTGTCCAGGTGCAGACATGTGTGTTCATCTTGTGCAGACGTGTGCTCATCCAAGTGCACACGTGTGTACTCGTCCAGGTGCAGATACGTGTGCACTAGTCTGTGTGTAGACATGTGTGTTCATCGGTATGCAGACATATATGTGCTCCTCCAAGTGCACACGTGTGTACTCATCCAGGTGCAGACATGTGTGCACCTATCCATGTGTAGACGTGTGTTAATTTGTGTGCAGACGTGTGTGCCACCCATGTGCAGATGTGTGCTCATGCATGTGTAAACATGTATAGATTGTGTACTCATTTGTGTGCAGACATGTATAGATGTGTGTGTGCTCATCCATGTGTGGACGCTTGGGGTGGAGCTTTGAAGTGGAAACAGACGGTGACAGGAAGCCCTTTTGAGATAGGCGAACAGGAGGGACAGCCCACTGGAAGGGAGAAGCTGGGCTACTCTGTGGCCATGAGCACGACTGCTGGCAGAGGGCCCTTTCCTAGGCGCCTGGGTGGTGGGCCCCCTGCCTGACAGAGGCATTGGTCGCTGCCTGGTGGCCACTGCTCGTGCAGGCTGAGCCCCGGGAAGGCCAGGGCTGTCTCTGGGAGCTGATGGTGTGTCTGGAGGGCAGCTGTCTCCCTCAAGAGCAGAAGCTTCTACGTCCTTTGGTTCTTGCTCAGTTACTGCCTCTTACGCCTCCACTCAGAGCAGGGAACTTGGGAACCGGTGGCTTTGTCCGTGTGTCCCTATCTCATTAACACGTGTTCCCAGTGTGGGCCGGGGCTGGGGAGCCCAAGTCCTCTGAGCCCAGCTTTCCTCTCCCCTGCTGTTGGCTCGTCTGGTCTTCTGTGAGGCACTGGGTAGGATGTAGATGCCATGGTCTCTCAGCTGCCTGTCAGCTGATAGGACTTTGGAAGCTTATGACGTCCAGTGTCTTAGTCATTCAAATTGCCAAGCCGTGTGGTTAACCTGCAGCTTTCTCTCTGCTGGAATGACAGCAGGCACCGTTGGAAGCTACGCTGCCTGAAAACCACCTGGAAACTCGGTGGTTTAAAACACCCTATTTCTCAGTGCTCTGAACCTGCAGCCGACGGGGGCCCTACTGACCTCGGGTGCCCTCATCATGCGTCAGCTGAGCAGCTGGCAAAAGGTGGCCTCGCTCATGCGTCCGGCCCCAGGCCTCCAGCCAAGAGGCCAAGGGGTTGGGAGGGCCTACAGAGGGGCCAGAGGAGAAGCAGAGAGTGGGGGCCGGCGCCCCAGACTGCTGGCCACCCTAGGTTCTGTCTCGGGTCTTCAGAGTGCCACCGTCCACCCCCACTGCCACACGGTTAGAGACAGCCCTCCCGCCACCGCGTTCATTGTGGCTGGCGGCCCGAAGGGTGTCTGGGAGACTTCGTCTGCCCTGGAGGGCCGAGATAAGGCCCCTGATAGCATGATGTCTGCTCACCATCCTGAGGGGAGCCAGCGGAGTGGGGCCCGTGGTCAGTCAGTGTCTGTTTAGGGCTCAGGGAAGACTGGTACGGCAGCCTGGAGCCAGGTGAAAGGCTTAGGCTTACTTGCACAGCCCTCTGGCTCAGCCCCTGTCCCTACAGAGCAGTCTATGTGATTGACTAGGGGTGCGGGTGTCATGGGCAAGCATGGGGTGGCAGCGTGTGGGCATCTTGGGTGGGCATGGGGCCACAGTGTGTGGGTGTCATGGGTGGGTGTGGGGCCACAGGATGTAGGTGTCATGGGCAGGCATGGGGCAGCAGGGTGTGGGTGTCTGGGCGGGTGTGGGGCAGTGGGGTGTGGGTGTCTGGGTAGGCGTGGGGCAGCAAGGAGTTGGCGTCATGGGCGGGTATAGGGAGTCGGGGTGTGGGCATCATGGGCGGGCGTGGGGTGGCAGGGTGTGGGCATCATGGGCGGGCATGGGCACAGGTATGTTGGGTAGATGTGGGAACGGGGTATGGGCCTTGTGAGCAGGTGCAGGCATCGTGGGTAGGCGTGTGACAGCCGGGTGCGGGCATCGTGAGTGGGCATGGGGCAGCCGGGTGCGGGTATCGTGGGCAGGCATGGGGTGGCAGAGCATAGGCGTCTTAGGCAGACGTGAGGCAAGGGCATTGCAAGTGGGTGTGGGTGGTGGTACTGGGGCTTTGTGAGTGGGTGTGGGGTGGCAGGGTGCATGGGTTGTGATGTACATGGGGCAGCGATTTGACAGCTGGTCCCCACGCCCCAGGCGAGCTTGGCCCTGAACTGTGTTCACATGCTCTCCCTAGGCAGAGGTCTGCAGGGCCCCAGGGCCTGAGCAGGAGAAGGCCAGGCACTGCCGCGTGCACCTCCCGAATGGCACGGCCTGCACCGTGCCCGTCAGGACGGGTACCTCTGTCAAGGAGGCTCTAACTGGGCTCTGCGAGCGGTACGGCATCAACGGGGCGGCTGTGGATCTCTTCCTTGTCGGTGGGGATAAGGTACGTGCACCTCCGCATTCCAGGGTCACGTCCTGCGGGAGAAGCAACGTGTCTCGTCACCACGTGAACCTGTCAGTGCTTGCCCCCGGGCCTCGTCACGCCCTGTGCCCCAGCTCCACGGGCGTTGGTGGCAGCCAGAGCGCGGTCGTTAGGCTGGGCTGCCGCACGGTCTGCATGCCAGTGTCGAGAGGCAGCCTGTGGCCGGGCCGTCGTGGGGCCTGCCCGTCGTCACTGCCTCCGTGCACTCGGGCGATGCCGGCCCTGCCCCTGCCGACTGTGTCTCTCTGGCCCCGTCCCAGCCTCTGGTGCTCCAGCAGGACAGCAGCATTCTGGAATCCAGGGAGCTGCGCCTGGAGAAGCGCACCCTGTTCCGGTGAGCATCAGCGGCTCGGCGTCACGGCCCCGGGGCTCTGGCCCACCGGGCTCCCTGGCCCTTCCTGTGTAGACATGCACCTGGCACCTGATGGGTAGTGGAGGGTGTCAACAGATCCCCCACCCCCACCAGGAGCTTGGCAAAGGGGTGGGGGAGGCTGAGGGGACCCCTTCGCAGCACCTAGGAACCCCAGGAGCCAGGGGACCCCTTTCCTCCCTGGCCCCAGGAGAGGAGGGGAGGCAGCGGGCTCCAATCATCTCATGTAGTGTGACTCCCACCCTGTGCCAGATGCCCCGTCCCCTGCTCAGCTCATTGCAAACCTAGAAAAGTCCCCTCCAGGCTTCTTCTCATCCGGAAGGAGGCCTTTGACATGCAGAAGCCAAGGCTGAATATGGGTGAGGGCATGAGGCCCGGTGCACCGTTGTCCGTCGTGGGCTTGGGGACTGGAAAATGACGTACATTTGCAGCAGATAGTCTCTCTCTCCTCCCCATCTCCCCACAGGCTGGATCTTGTTCCCATTAACCGGTCAGTGGGACTAAAGGCCAAACCCACCAAGCCGGTCACAGAAGTGCTGCGGCCTGTGGTGGCCAAGTACGGCCTGGACCTGCGTGACCTCACCGTGCGGCTGGTGAGTGCCCCCACACTCTGCACTGCGTCTGCACCCACTCTCCAATGGACACCGGTGCCTACTCTGTGCTTCATGGTGCCCCGTCTGGGTGCCCTCTGCTCTACTCACAGAGGGGTGCCTGGTGGACACTGGTGACAGTCTGGAAGACATGTCCGGTGTCCTCCAAAGCTCAGGACTAGGGAGGTGGCCTCTGCCCCCCTATTCTGCCCCACCAGGTGGAGGCGATCCTGATCACATGTGCCATGGTCATTCTTAACAGGGTTTTGGGTTGATGTTGAGGTAAAGGTCCCAGGTTAATGCTGAGGTAAAGGGTCTCAGGTTGACAGTTGAGGCGAGGGGTCTCGGGTTGATGGTTGAGGTGAGGGGTCTCGGGTTGACGGTTGAGATGAGGGGTCTCAGGTTGACGGTTGAGGTGAAGGGTCTCGGGTTGACAGTTGAGGTGAGGGGTCTTGGGTTGATGGTTGAGATGAAGGGTCTGGGGTTGATGCTGAGGTATGAAAGGTCCTGGGTTCACAGTTGAGGTGAGGGGTCTCAGGTTGACGGTTGAGGTGAAGGGTTTCAGTATGACATTTGAGGTGAAGGGTCTCAGGTTGATGGTTGAAGTGAAGGGTCTCGTGTTGACGTTTGAGGTGAGGGGGCTCAGGTTGACATATGAGGTGAGGGGTCTTGGGTTGACGGTTGAGGTGAAGGTCCCGGGTTGATGCTGAGGTGAGGGTCTCGGGTTGACGTTTGAGGTGAGGGGTCTCAGGTTGACGTTTGAGGTGAGGGGCCTCGGGTTGATGGTTGAGGTGAAGGGTCTCAGTTTGATGTTTGAGGTATAGCTTTAGTCCAAAACCAAAAAAACCAAACTCCCTCCCATTGAGTCGGATCCGACTCACACCGACCCCTCCTTGGATTTCTGAGGCGGTACCTCTATGGAAGAAGATCACCCAATCTTCCTTCCGAGGAGTGGCTGGTGGGTTTGAGCCGCCAGCCTTCTGGTGAGCAGTCAGATGCCTTAGGTACTATGCCACCAGAGCTCCCAGCTTCAGTACAGGAAACCAAAATAAGAAAAACAATGAGAAAAAGGCAGCCAGTCTCTACAGCTGACAGATGGGGTCAGGGGACCATCAAAGCTGGCAGCGCCACACACCTGTGGACACTGAGGTGGCTGCCGGGCATCTGGCTGACATTGTAGCTGCTTACCTCATTTAATGTCCATAGTCCTCACCTACACTTTCTAGACTTAGAATGAGGATGGCACTGCCAAGCAGGCCACCATTGTCAGTGGGTGAGGTTCAGGAATAAAGATGTTTGGGGACAGGTGGAAGCTGACGTGTTGGAGGGCAGGCCTCTGGGGCCTTGGTCCCTGTGCTCAGAGGGCGTGGCCTGTGAGGCCTCACCTGCACTGACGGGAAGTGACTGTCCTGCACTCCACGTGGAAGTGTGCGCCACAGCTTCCCTCCAAAGTGCCATCCATCAGTGATTGCTTGTGTTTCCCTTTCTTTGTAAACCTTGACCGGGGCTGTAATTTCATGTATGTTTAGGATTTTAATTTTCTCTGAAACTGGCTCCAAAATTATTCACGAACTCTGAAGTGAAGAAAGGAAAATGTTCAATTATTTACAGCCACCGGCTCCCAAGAGTAACCTGACACGGTTTCCCACATGCTCGGCTCATTGGACTAAGCCGGCCAGCCCTGCTCTGGAAGGTGTCAGAGAGGGGGCGTGGCCGGAGGGAGGGGCATGGCTGAGAAGGGGCGTGGCCAGAGGGCAAGGCCTGCTGGAGTAGAAGTGCCTGCAGGGGCCATGGCTGGAGAGGGGCCGGGCTGGGCCGCAGTGGACCTCCTGCCCTGCTGTGCTGGGCCTCTGCCACCCCGAGCCCCGCCACCTCAGCCTACCTTCGGTAAAATGGTGTTTGGGGCTAGCACCGAGCCCAGGAGCAGGTCCTCCCCGGGCAGAGCGGTGAGCACAGGGCGTTAGACCAGATGGAGGCAGTGTGCGTCAGGAGCATTGGTGGCAGTGGGGAGTCCTTGTGGACTTGAGTTCTCTTTGGACGTGTTCCCGTCTGGTGACTTCTGTGGTTGTCAGCCAGCCCAGATGCCACGAGCAAGGCCAGCCTGTCAGCCGGCCCCTCCTGCTGCCACTGCAGGCTCTGGCGGGGCGCGGGGCTGCGGCCTCTTGGACCAGGCCCTCTGTAGGCCTCGCAGCACACTCCCACAGGCATCGACCACTTGTGCTACTCTCTGCTGTCCGACTTAACAATGCCAGCAAGAGGTTCACGTTTCGTTTCTCGGGGGGCTCGGCACATGCTCTGTCAGGGGAGAAGGGCTTCTGACCAGAGGCAGGGCTCTAGGTCCCTCACTCACGACTCTTCACGTGGACCTTGTGTGGTTGTGGGTGCTGTCGAGGGGCTCTGGCTCACAGCGACCCCGTCTGCAGCAGAAACCGCCCGTCCTGCGCCAGCCCCGCGGTCCTTGCTGAGCGTGAGCCCCTTATTGCAGCTGCTGTGTCAGTCCACCTTGTTGAGGGCCTTCCCCTTCTCCTCTGGCCTCCACTTGACCAAGCACGACATCCCTGTCCAGCGACCAGTCCCTCCTGACAGCAGGACCAAAGTAGATGAAACAGTCTCCCCGTCCTCGCTTCTGAGGAGTGTTCGGGCTGCACTTCTGAGACCAGTCCTTGGACCTGATGTAGCTCTGCTTTCAAATCAGGTGCTTTTGCTTCTTGGTTTACAAAATGAAAGCATTTTACCTTCAGCGACCACCGCGGGAGTGGCTTTATGCTTTCAGGCGAGCCATTCCCTAGAGGGGAGCCCCTGGGTGCTGCAGACGGTTACCACGCTCAGCTGCCGACCGAGAGGTTGGAGACTCGAGTCCACCCAGAGGCACCACCACGACAGTCCTACTGATGGACTGAGAAGTCAGCCACGGAGGCCTGTTTTCTCCTCGCGGTCATGAGCCATGCTGAGAATTTGGTGCCAACTCAAGTGAACAGTCAGGAGAGTTTCTGTGCACACTTCAAAGCATCAGGGTGGTTGCCCAAAGCGTCTTCAGTGCTCGCCAGTGTTCTCCCTCTGGGTCTCAAACTGAGTGCAGTGCCACCAGCAGCCGTCACTCAAGTGACTCAGAAACAGCTCCGCCCTCGCCGGTTCTTCAGCATCTGAGGCCCAGACAGGGGTCAGTGGGTGGGAATCCCCAGTCAGTCCACGGCAGGAGCCCACGGCCAGGCCCTGGAGCCCTGGGGCACCCACACCTTGGCCGGCACCTCTGGGGTCATGTGGAGTTGGGGTGCCGGGAACGAGGGGCCACCTGGTGTGTGCTCACGCCAAGCCAGGGGGCAGTCTGGCTGTCAGGGCTGGGCCCCTGCAGCTATTCTGGCCTAGCCAGACGAGCTAGTAACTGCCATCTCCACCTTTAGAGTGGCGAGAAGACTCTCCTAGACCTCGGCGCCCCCATTTCCAGTCTGGACGGACAGCGGGTTGTGCTGGAGGAGAGGGACCCCTCCCGGGGGAAAGGTGAGTGGGCCTGCCTTCCAGCACTCGGGTCCCTCCCCATCTCCAGCTCACGAAGACCCCAGCCTCCTGCCCGTCCTGGCCTTCCCAGGACAGAGCCCGGCATCTGTGGCTAAGACGCCAGCCTGCCAGGCCCTGAGCCCTTACCTCGTAGGGCAGCCCCATCCCTCAGTGCTTAGACACAGAGCCAGCAGGGCTCCGGGTCCTCCCAGCTGTCTGGTACCAGGGCCACACACGGGCTGAGTTGGGCTGGGACCTCGGGGCAGTTTAACACGGTGTTTCTCAAGCTGACCATCTAAGGGGCACAGACTAGTCCTGATGGGACAGGAGGCTCCCCGGACGAGGGGGATGAGGGCTGTGCTTCCCAAGGATATGACCTGGGGCCAGGAAGTCGCTCAGCCTCCCTGTGTCTTCTCAGCTGTGAGAGGAGTGACAGTCCCTGCCGGGCCCACACCCAGCGTGCTCTGAGGGGCTAACGAAATGAGTTCACGTGTGGGAGCACTTTTACCACACATGCGAGGGTGTGTTCACCACACAGATGAAGCCATGTTCACCACACACTTGAAGGTGTGTTCACCACATGTGAGGGCTTGTTCACCATACACCTGAAGGTGTGTTCACCACACGTGAGGGCGTGTTACCACACAGATGAAGGCATATTCACCACATGTGAGGGTGTTTTCCACACGTGAGGACATGTCCACCACATGTGAAGACATGTTCATACATGTGAGGGTGTATACCACATGTGAGGGCATGTTCACACACGAGGGCATGTTCACCACACACGTGAGGGCACTTTCACCACATGCATGAGGGTGCATTAAATACATGCATAAAAATAATTTCACCACACGTGTGAGCACATTCACCACACGCATGAGGGCATGTTCAACATGCACAAAAGTACTTCAGACGTGAGGGCATGGTCAGCAGACGTGAGGTTACATTCACACATGCGTGAGGGTACCCTGACCACTTGTTTGAAAGTTCTTAAACCACACAAATGAGGGTACTTTCCCCACACGTGAGGCTGTATTCACCACATGCATGTGGGAGTGTTCACATGTGAGAGCGTGTTCACCACACAGATGAGGGCACATTCACCACACACAAGGGTGCATTGACCACATGCATGAAAATACATTCACCACGTGAGGGCACATCCACGACATGAGTGAGGGCATGCTCAACAAGCGTGAAAGTACTTCCACCACACACATGCAGATACACTGAGGGTGTGTTCACCACAGACATGTCAAGACGTGTTTACCGCATGGGTGAGGGCACTTTGACTAGAAAATCTCACGGATGCTCTAAGTGGGAAATGGGGCCCTGGAGGTGTGGTGGCCTGGCCTGCACACAGAATGGCAGGTGGGGTGAGCGCGGGCACGTCTCCATCCAGCAGGCGTGCAGGCCGTGGGCCCCGCGCTCTGGCCTGTGCTGTAGCGACTGGTGTGTGATGAACCACACTTTACAGAGCTCTTTCCCACACGCGCCTTGATGGTAACACCAGGAGCTGTTGTCTTGGGTCAAAGAGCTGTGAGGAGCTGGGACGAGGACTCATCCTGTCCCGACATGACAGACACACGGACACACTGTAGAGGAGCCTGCACTCCTCTGCAGAAAACACACCTCTGCGTTAGAAAAGGTCACGTGGACTGGGGGGGTGGCTCAGAGAGTTTCAGAAACCCACGTGCCGTTTCCTAGGTTGTTACCCAGGTAGAAAGAGCTTGTCAGGGCCCATCGCAGGTGGCTGGCCTGCCCCGCCCTCCACACAGTGAGGACTCGGGATGGGTGTTTTGGGGCTCCTTTCAGCTCTGGAATGTGGCCCCGTGGTGTGAGGGGCAGAGCCTTCTCTTGTCCCTGGTTCCAGGCACCCACTGCCTTCAGAGCCGGGACCCGAGGCCCGTCCTGGGCACACCCTCGTGCCCTGGACAGGCGGCCAGGTGGGGTGGTCAGCATGTGTGGCCAGGCAGGTGTCTGGCAGGGCCTTCTGCTTGTGTGTGCACAGGTGAGTCCAGCAGGAGAACTGAGGTAGACCCCGCTCTCTGTAGAAACGGTGCAGTGGTCACATCTGACACCACTGTTGCCCAGAGGAGGGGCCCATGGCCCCCGATTGTGACAGCAGTGTGCAGGGGACACGTATGAAATCTCAGAGCCTTCCAACCACCCACAGCACGTTCACGCCACGTACAACCTGGAGGACGCTTTTCAGTAGCCTCCTTCCAGGGCCCCACGGAGCCGTGTCATCCCCAGCCCCGGCCACCACCACGTCTCGGCCCCAAAGCCGGCGGGAGGAGCGGGTGCTGCCGTTCGAGCCGGACGCTGCGGCCCACGCGGTGGCCTCTCCGGTTGCGTGACGTGCTCTGTTTCTCCACAGCTTTGCCGTCCAGACAGTAGAGTTGCGATTCTGGCTGAGTGTGCGGTTGGCTTGGCGACTTGCTTTAGTGATGACCTTGTCTCGTTTTGTTCAGTGTCCACAGAGAAACAGAAGGGGGCAGCAGGCAAGCACAGTGTAGCGGTAGAGCCGAGTTCCAGAAGCCACACAGCTACGGTAATTCACCTGCAACCTGGCGCAGGCCTGCTCCCTGTTCCGCGGGGCCGTGGCGCGCCCTGGGGCTCCCTCACGGGCTTGACCCCCCGGGTCTGGGCCTGGCCCCTGCTTCTGTGCGAACCCTCGGGCTGCCTCCTCTCCTGCAGTGGGGGTGGCTCTGCCTGACCTGTGCTGCTTGCCACCTGTCCTCGTCTCTGTCAGTGCGGCCTGTGTGCGGGCCTCCTTGTCTGTGACCGACGAAGCGGGTGCGCCTGTGTCGGAAACGGGAGTGGGACTTTGACTTTCCTTCTGATGCAGGGAGAGGAGAGGACGCTAGGCAAGTCTAACTCTATTAAGATAAAAGGCGAAAATGGAAAAAGTGCTAGGGAGCCCCGGCTTTCAAAGAGAGAAGAACCTATTGCAAAGATTGGGAAAAAAAAAAATCAGAAAATTAATTTGGACGAAGCGGAGGGTACGTGTACTTTTTAAAACTTGCACGTTTTCCAGTGGATGTCATGTCACTGTTGAAGCTCAGTCACCAAAACGCTTCTGGCCATTGGGCCCTTGGGTGGCTGCTGTCCCCATGACACCAAGCAGGCCCCCGCCCCCTGTGTGCTTGGGCCACTGCTACCACGTGGGCTTCAGGGACCCGGTGTCCACATGCCCGCTGCCCCTGACTCAGGGAGCCGCCACTGTAACAGTGCTGCTTGCACATGAGACCCCGAGGCCCCACCTGTTCACCCCTAGCCACCATCCTGTCTCCGGGTTCCATCGGTGTCTCGGGTCCCTCCTTTAGGGTCCACCTCCTGACACCACCCAGAGCCACCTACTCAGGCTGGGGCCCAGACATGAGGTAGGTTCAAAGGACCAGTGGGCAGCTCTGGTGGGGCAGGCACTGGTCGCTAGCCGGGCCTGCTTGGCCGCTGGATGTTCATCAGAGGCTGAGGACAGTCACGTGTGGCCAGGGGCCCATGGTCCCTGCATGTCCCTGAGGCCTCCGGGGCTGGCGACAGGAGCAGTGGAGAGACAGGGAGAGGAGACTTTCTGATCTCAGACTTCCTGCCCCAAGGCTCCTGACAGAGATGCTACCATGCAGTGAAAACAGCTGTTGCTGCGGCCTGAGTTTTGCCCGGGGAGTACCCCCTGGGCAGCTGGGGCGCCCCACAGAACACACAGCCCATAGCCTCTCCCTCAGCCTTTGGAGGCCATGAAAACACGCATTAATACACGGTCCTGGGAGCCGCTGGCGCCAGGGTCTAGACGCCAGGTGATCCTCAGAGCTGAGAGTTAGTGTACCCACGGGAGCAGACTCAGGGTTGACCCCACTTGCTGTCTGAACGGGGCACTCAAGTTGCATTGCAACCCAGCTGCGGTACTGGAAGGCAGTGTGTGGAGTGGCCGCCGGGGGTGCCTGGGGACAGGTGACCCGGCCAGGAGCTCCCAGCGACAGCCTCTCTAGGAGTGTGTTGGCCCGTTTGTTCTCCTCGCCTCCCGTGAGCCCAGGGGGACCACCCTGTGCTGAGAGTGGGGACCCCAAGAGGCAGGAGCCTCTGCCACCAGTCTCAGGGGCTCCTTGCCCCCGCCCCCCAGACAGGTTCCCAGCCCCTGATGTCCTCCAGGCCTCGGGTTGGGGGCTGCAAGTGCGAGGGTCCAGTCAGGCTACCTGTACCCCGTCCTGAGTGGGGAGCCAGGCCATGGGGCCCAGAGCATGCAGCCTCTCACCAAGACCCCTCCGGGTGTGGCTGCTGTGTCCTGAGCAGGCCTAGCGGGCTTGTGGCGCTCGTGCCCTTCCAAGGGGAGAGTCCCGCCAGCCGCCCGCGCGAGCGCAGCGCAGGGCCGTCCGGACTCGGCCGGCCGCGGGGATCCGTGCGTTCTAAACGCGGTCCGCGTGCGTTTCCTTCCTAGAGTTTTTTGAGCTCATTTCCAAAGCTCAGAGCAACCGGGCAGATGACCAGCGCGGGCTGCTGAGGAAGGAAGACCTGGTGCTGCCCGCGTTCCTCCGCCTGCCGCCCGCCGCGGCCCAGGGCCCGAGCAAGAGGCTGGGCAAGAGCCGCAGCCAGGACAGCGCCGCGCCGCCCGGCGAGAGCCCCGCCAGCAGCCCCGGCTCGGCCGGCAGCCCGCCCGGGCAGCCCCCCGCCGCGCAGGTCTGGCGGCGACAGTCGCGGGAGGTGGTGGGCGCGCAGAGCCCGCAGGAGGAGCCCGCCGCCGACCTGACGCTGGTGGCCGAGGGCCACCTCAGCAGCCCCAGCTGCAGCCTGCTGCCCGGGCCGCCCGCCGGCGCGCCCCCAGCGCCGCGGCCGGACGCGCAGGACACGCCGGGAGCCCAGAAACCAGGTACCTCCAGAGTGTGACCCGACCCGACTCGCCGCCGCCGGTCCCCGACCGTGGGCCTCTGCGCTGGGGACCGGACGCTTCCGGAGAGCGCCCCCTCCCGGCGCCCGTCCTTCACGTGGCAGGGGCGGCGCGTCTCGGGGCGGGGCAGCGGCGGTGCCCGGCGCAACAGGCTCTGTAGCGGAAGAGGGCCGGTGCGCCGCCCTGGCGGGCCCCGTGCGGCGCTGGCGGCCGCGCGATGGCGCCCTGGGGCCATGACCGCCCCCTCGGCTCTGTCCTCGCCTCAGGGTCGCCTCCCACAGCTGACCCCGGTTGGGAGCCGGAACGGCATTTCCCGCCTTCCAGGCGCGTAGAGGGCGCCGGGCTGACTCGTGCTGCAGGGCAGGGGGCCGAGCGCCTTTCCCGGGAGAAGCCCCTACCTGGGCGCGCCCCTGTGTCCTGCATGCCGTCCTCCGCCATCGCGGCCCTGGGGCTTCCCCGCTCTGCTCTGTGGCTCCCGAGTGGCCGTCGCCCGTGTCTCGTCTGCTCTTCCAGAGAAATAAATGCAGCGCTCGCCACCGGACCGCCTGGACGCTTCTTCCTCCTTCCCTGTAGGACGCCGCAGGGCAGCGTCATCGGGGAGAGTGACACGTTTGTAGGGAACTAGACGGAACATTCGGGCTTGGGTTCCCTGCCTGTCCCAGCCGAGCTGCTGAGCTCCGTGCCCCAGGCACGGGTGGGTGACGGGGGACATCGGGTCCCTTCACAGGGACTGGGGGGGCACACGAGTCCTGTGCCCCGTTCCCTCACCATTTCAGCCACCACACCTGAGAGCCACGCGCTGCGGCCATGCCTCACCGCCTCTGCCACCTGGCCTAGCCCTCATCCCTCTGGGGGTTTCCGTGGAAGGAGGGTGTGGGCTGGCGTGTGCCTCCGTGCCAGGTCAAAGGCCGGCGAGTCCGAGCTCCTCACTCGCCTCACGGCCCCTCTCCGTGTCAGCGCGGGTGCACACCGGCAGGACCCAGGGCTTGCCGGCGTTTGCCGCCCCGAGGGAGGGCAGGCGCCCTGTGTGGGCGTCCCTCGTGGCCGTGGCAGCTCCTCTGTTGCCGTCCTGAGGGCAGTGGGGGCGGGGATATAGCCAAGGTGACCGCCCCTGGCCAGGCTTTGCCGCGGCCACTGTGGGCCTCCTGGGTGGGCCCGGCTTGGCCCTCAGGCTCCGTCCTGGGAGGAGAAGGGGCAAGGATAGGCCCAGGGTTTCTCCTTGGTTTCAACAACTACTGGGGCCATTTCTTAACCAGGATCCCACGACCCACCGTCCGGTAGAAGCGGTACAGCGGGGGGGTGCGCCGGCTCCACACCCCACAGTGCTGGACCGGACGGTGTGACGAGCTGCCGGGAGCGTGCCCGGAAACAGGGAGGGCGTCTCTCTGAGAGCCGGGCTCCGTGTCCCCCAGCCCTCGGTGCCAGCTCCCATGCGCGCGTCCCAGCCTGGCCAGTGAGCCAGCCAGTCGGGAGGGCCTGCTGGGGGAAATGGTGGTGTGGGCACCCAGCGTGAGATGGAAGACACGCGGACAGGCAAGGTGAGTGGGGGAGGGGCCCGCGGGGTGTCCCCCTCACCCAGGGCCCCAGTGGCAGGTACCTCTGGGTGGCCCAGCATTCTAGGCGCCCCAGGTCCCAGCCTCTGGGCTTGCCTGGTCGAGGCTAACACGTGTTCATGGGCTGGGGACACCTGGCTCCCCGCCCCTCCTGCTCCCTCACTTCCGGCTCCTGCCTTCCTCCTGGCCTCACACCCCACGCTGGAGACCCGCAGTGGTCCACCCGCCTGCCCCCCACACCCCCACACCCCGAACCAGGCCCTGCCTTACCTGCCTGCCTTCCATGGTTGTGACTTGTATCGGGGTCAGGGCTGGCTCCCCCCTCACTTCGTCCCCTCTACCCTGGAACTGCAACCCACGCCCAGCCATAGCTCCACCCAGCTCCGGTCCCTGCGCCCCTCCATGCCACCCCGCTCGCAGCACAGACATCACCCATCTTGGGCCCCTGTGCCCCCTCATGTCACCCCACCCCCCTCCAGGGTGGCCCCAGCATGTCCCTCCGCCTGCACACAAAGCTGTCCCCGAAGCCGGGGGTTGGGCTCCGGAGAAGCAGGGCAGGGGAGCTTGCTGGTAGACCAAGAAAGGGCTTCCTGTCTGGGGGAAGTCGGGGCATCTGCAAGAGGGGGAACCGGGCGAGTTCTTGCCTGTGGTAGAATCTCCCCCTATAGCCTGCTCAGGTGTCCTGTCCCCCCCCACACACACCCACCTGCAGTGGCAGAAGCCCTCCCAGGGGCCTGGAGACGACACCCACCTCTAGGCTCCCTACGAGGCGTCTGCTGCGAGCAGATGTGACAGGAATCCCTTCGGGGGTGGGACAGCCCAGGGCCCTCCACCCGCTGCAGGCCGCTGGTGGGCCACCCGCTGCCGGGGTCCCCATTCTGGGGCTGCACTGAGTCCCCTTGGCCCCACTGCCAGTCGACCTCTCCAGGCAACCGGGCAGGGCCTAGAAACTCCCTCCTGGCAGGTGCCCAGGCCAGCAGCCTGGGGTCGTCCCGGTCTCTCCCCATCACCGCCCCCTGTCCGCAGCCTGTCGGCCCCCAGCAGTCCCGCCAGGTCCCAGGGTCCACGCCTCTTCCTGACGCCCTGCTGGGCCCCCCGGGGTCTGTGGCCCGCAGTCTGCGGGGTGTCCCCTGCGACCCCCATCCCCGTTCCTGCTGTTCTTAGAGACACTCCATGCTGCACCCGGTGGGTGCCAAGTGGCTCTCCATCTGGAGGAAGGACCGGAACCCAGCTCCCCCAGCACCGAGCCAGGGCCCCGCCTCCACCTGAGGATGCAGGAGTGGCACCAGCGAACCTGGCTGCCCCGTCTCCCCTGGGGTCTCAGGAGGCCAGAGTGGGTGGAGTGCTCAGAGCCAGCAAAGGACGTGGGTGACCTGCGACCTTGAGAGAGCCCTGCTCAGTGCTGCCGTGGGCCCCTCTGCTGGGGTGGGGCTCCAGCCCCCTCAAGGGGTTCCACCACTAGGTCTCTGTGTCCGTGAGAGCTTCCCAAGGGCAGTCAGGATGGCTCACCAGGGACGCGGCGGGGTGGCCTCAAAGGCCGTGAGGTACCCACTGCTTAGAGGGCCAGGGCCTGGGACCAGAGCGCATGCTGATGGATGGAAGGCTGTTAGGAGCCTGGAGGGTTGGCGCTTGGCTGTGAGCGCTGGGAAGGCTCAGGCGGGGCAGGCGGACGTCCCAAGGCAATAGGACGGCGGCTGTGTGAGAACTGGAGGGTCGGGTGCGAGGGTCAGGAGCAGAGGGGGCCACATATCTAAGTGTCAGGGACCGGGGCACATCGGACAGAGGTGCTGGAGTGACACTAGGGCTGGCATCTCGGACGTGAGGGGTCTGCTGCCTCGGCTGGCTCCCCGTGGCGCTGTCCCTGGGAGGAGGCCCACAGGCAGTCCTGGGCAGGCCCTGGCACGAGGCTGACGGGGCTGGTGCCGAGTCAGGAGGCAGGCCCGGGCTCAGCCACCCTGCCGAGACACGCAGACACATCCTGGGCTTGCAGGAGGCTGTCACGGTCCCCAGGAACGGGCCCCAGGCTCAAGAGGTCTGTTTCCTGCCTGTGGGCCAGGTGACGGTGGGTGCCGGAGCCCCCCAGGAGTCCAGTGCCCGAGTGAGGAGACATGATTTGGGGGTGTGCTTTCCAAGTCCAGGTCCGAGAGGCTGGCCCCCGTCCCCTCCTGGTCCTGCAGCCATGGGCCTCAGGGACAGGCTGGGAAAAGCCCCCCCCACCTCGGTCAGCTGACGGTGCCTGAACCTTTGCTTAAGGCCTGGGAGCCCCCTCCTGAGTTGGGGACCCATAGGCGTTTTGTCTGTCCAAGGACAGGGACCGTGTGGCTGTTGCGGCTTCCTGATACTGGGCAGGGGGAGGGTGCCCAGGCCCAGATCACATGGGTGGGGACCCAGGTGGTGGTTGGGTGGGAGCCTTTGGTCTTCTTCCCCCACCTTGTCGGCTCACTGTCACCTCGGGATGGGGCTTCACATCCCGGAGGCCTCGTTGACAGAGCTGGGGAAGCCCCGACCTCACTGCAACCCAGCCTTTCACCAGCCTGCGCCCCGACCCCCGACCCCATGCCCCAGCCCAGCCGTCCCCCCAGCAGCCAG